TAAACATTTGGGTAAATGCCCAAAAGTGGGATTGCTGGGTCATAGGGGAGTTCTATGTGAAGTCTTTTGAGGAACCTCCATACTGCTTTCCAAATCCACAGAGAATATTTTATGGTAGGTGATTACCACTTTGATGTTATCCCTGAAATGGCACATTAAAGACAATGCTCAGAATTATGCAAGTCAAACTTGAAGACTGAATATTGACAACTAACCAAGACTAGGTGACATATATCAAAGATTATAGAAAGAAAACAGGAGGAGGAATAAGGAATTGTGAACAAAACAAACTCTTTTAAAGCATTGACAGACTACAAATATAATTTCTGATCAAAAGACTTACTTCAAAGATTCCGGGGTAGTTTATAGTCACCAGTATTCCAAACAAACTGTTAGACAATAGTTATAAATAATATAGAGGAGGAAAGACACAATTTTTCTCCAAAACTACAGATTCTCTTTTTAAAGATTAATGAGCTAAAGTACGAGATGTTCTTACCAATGTGCAAATAGAACAAGAATAACACGCATTTTAACTTAGGGTCTACAACCAAGTGATGAACTGATGGATAACAGTATAATATGAATTTTATTTTTAATACTAATCAGGATCTAAAGAAGAGCCATAGGGATTTCTAGTCTCTTCCCCCAAAACACTACCTTAATTAAATCTAAATTCAGGGAAGGAACTATGGAAGTATCAGAGCACTTGGATCCCCAATAACTTAAAAAGAAAAAAAGCTTAAGTTTATGGAGAGGAAACAATGAAATGGTAATTTTATCATCAAAACATGTATCAGAAATTCTATATATTAATTTACCTCTTATGGAACTATTCTGCCACTGAGACTGAAAGGAGATATACACTTCTGCTCTCTCCAATCTCAGCACCAGTCCTAAGTCAGAGAATGCTCATAGAACTAAACTGGCAATGATGCTCAGAAATAGGGGAAGGAGGGTCACTTGGTCTACCTCCTTCTGGTAACTTGATTGGTAAACTCTTCCAAAAGCTTGGTAACTTAAAAGTGAGCAGGAAACTATCAAAAAAAAATATTCACAGTGTCATTTAGAGTAAACAAAGGGAAATGTTCCAGAAATATTAAGAAATATTAAGATAGCTCTGTGGTACAGCACTTGATTAGAATATTCCAGAATGTGGTTGATCCCCAATACCACACACACACACACACACACACACACACACACACACACACAAAGCAAAATTGAATATAAGATAAAACAGGTGATTTTCACACTCTCTTTCACACTCCCTTGAATGTTCTAACTCAGAGGATCTGAGTAGTTCCTGGAAATTATATTTTAAACAACACTTTCAAAGAACCATGAGCATTGTATCCCTAACATAGTTAAGAAGCTTCTTTTTAGATATGGCAATATTATTGATTGTAGTTAATTTTAGGTATAATAACATTGCTATTATTAAAGTCTTATAGAGATGGATTACTGTTTCATAGTGTTTTGATTTTTAACATTTTAAATAATAATTTATTGTTTTATCATCTTTTTCCTTCTCTCTTCCTTTCTTTCTGGTATTAGAGCCTGAAGCTCTCACTCACGTTTTTCTTCTCATTGGTGGCTCTCTACCAAGTCAGTCACAACTCTACTTCTGGGATTTCATTGGTTATTTGCAGATAAGAGCCTCTCAAATTCATTTGCTCTGACTGGCTCTGAATCTCTATCTCCTGAGTAACTAGGATTATAGGTGTGAGCCACTGGTGCATTGCTTTATTTATAGAATTTTTTGCTTTCTATCACTCTTCAGGATAATATTAGTTTAATCACACTTAAAATGCGTATCCATTACATGGCAAGTATGTCTATCTCAAATTTAAAACAGTAAGCATGAGGTCAGAACAACTTCTTTAAT